TTTTTTTTTTTTTTTTTTTTTACTTTTTTAATCTATTAATGGGGTGACTCAACATCAGTAGCTTTTTCTGCTGTTAAACCACTTTTGCATTTTTGGTATGAGCCCTGCTTGCTCCTCTTGATATATAATTTGTTTGTACACTGCTTGATACATAATTTGTATGTATGTTGTTGGATTTGGTTTGCTAATATTAATTTAGGATTTTTGAGTCTATACCTTTATGTGAGGTTAGCCTTAATGTAAGTCTCTGATATTGATGGGTATAACTTTCTAGCATTTCCTTGTCTGGTTTTGGTATCAAGACTATATTAGTCTCATGATGTGAGCTGGGAGTTCATCTTTGTCTTTCTGTCTCTCTCTCAGTGGGATGGTCTGTGTAAGACCAGGATTAATCAGTTCCTTACATGATTCTTAGAACATGCCTATGAAATCACCTGAACCTGGTATTGTGTGTGGGCAGGCTTTAAATCATAGATTCAGTTTCTTTAATGATTATGATGCTATTTAGATGTTCTCTTTTTTCTTCAGTTAATTTTAGTAAATTATGTATTTTTAGGAAATTTTTTATTATTTCCACGTTTTCAAAGTTGTTGGCATAGAGTTGTCCATAATAGTCTCTCAAAATTATTAAAATCTCTAATGTTTTGGTAACTGTCTTCTCCTTTTCTTTCTTAATATTAATTGATTTGTCTACTTCCTTTTTTTCCTCAGTTATTCTTGAAAGAAGTTTTTTGGTTTCATAAGCCTTTTAAGAAAGAGATTTTAATTTTGTTGATTTGTCATTTTTGGTTTTATTGATTTCTGCCCTTTATTGTTTATTTTCTCCCCTGTCTTTCTTTTTCTATCCTTTGAACTGGACAGTTCATTAATTTTCAACCTTTGTTCTTTTCCTATAAGTGTATAAAGCTATAAACTTCTATGTAAATATGTCAGGTGGCTCAAAGAAGTTTTAGATATACAGTATTATTATTATTTTAAAACACTTAAAATTTTCATTATGTGTTTTCCATTAGTTCATGACTTATTTTGAAGTGTTTAAAATTTTTCAAACATGTTTTTTGGAGAGTTAGCTTGATCCCACTGTGATCAGAGACTATGTCCTATATGATGAAGTTTCTTTGATATTTATTGAGATTTGTTTTGAGGGATAGAACAAGATCATTTTGTATACAAGTCCAAATATGCTTGAGAAGAATATGTATTCTCTTACTGCTGGATGCAAGATTGTGTATATGACCATTAGATTGAGTTGGTTAATTGTATTGATCAAATTTTCTATTTTTTTTATTTGCTCAATTTATCAGTTATGAAGGAAGGTATTTTGAATGTCTTTGTATGATTGTAGATTCATCAGTTTCTCCTTTTAATTCCATTGATCTTGATGCTACATTATGTGGTGTATTTAAGCTCAGAAGGGGAGTATCTTTCTGGTGAATTGTTTCTATTGTCATTATGAAGTGGCCTTCATTTTTTCTAAAAATGCATTTTGTCTTAAAATCTATTTTTAGATGTTGATATAACTATCAGCCTTCTTTTGTTTAATATTTTCCAGGGTTATTTTTCCATTCATGTACATTAAACTTTCTGTAATCTTATGTTTTTGCAAAACCTCTTATGTGTTGTATATGACTAGATTTAAAAATATCTTACTGAGAATCTGTAACTTTTGTTTTTGAAATAGATGGAGTTTTCTAATGTTTATTTATTTTCAAGAGAGAGAGAGAGAGAAAGCACGTGCAAGGTGGGGAGGAGCAGAGAGAGAAGAGGGAGAGAGAGAATCCCAAGCAGGCTCCACACTCAGTGAGAACCCTGACATGGGAGCTCGATCTCATGACTGTGAGATCGTGACTTGAGCTGAAATTAGGACTTGGATGCTTAACTGACTGAGCCACTCAGGCATCCTGAGAGTCTCAAACTTTTAAGTCAAATTCTTCGTCTGTGTATATTTATTGTGATTACTGAGTATTTGTATATCTACCATTTTATTTTTTACTTTATCATAGTTTTCTTTGTTTTTCTCCTCCTTTCTATTGAATTAGCCAAATTTTTTTTTATTTCTGTTTTCTCATCTCTGCTAATTTGGAAGTTATACATTTTATTTCTTATTGTTTTGGTAGTTACCCTTAATTTCTTTTTTTTTAACTTTTTATAGAAATTGAAAGGCACCGATAGAAAAGTGCAGTTATCATAAGAAACAGCTTGGTCATTTTCACAAACTGAAAACACTTGTGTAATCAGCACCTAGATCAAAAACCAGAAATTCCTAGCATGTCAGAAGTCCCCTTTATGCTCCCTTCTAGTAATTTACCTCCTCCTACTCCTTGTAGGTAACTATATCCTGACTTCTTTTGTTTTTTTTTTAATTTTTTTTAATGTTTATTTTTGAGAGAGAGACAGAGTGTGAGTGGGGGAGGAGCAGAGAGAGAAGGAGACACAGAATCCAAAGCAGGCTCCAGGCTCCGAGCTGTCAGCGCAGAGCCCGACGTGAGGCTCGAACACACAGACTGCCAGATCATGACCTGAGCTGAAATTGGACGCTTACCGACTGAGCGCCCCTGTATTCTGACTTCTAGTGGCAGGATTACGTTTGTCTCTATATTCCTGTATCTGGCTTTTGTGCTGCACACTCTGTATTCTAGCGTCTAGCCTCTTTGCTCAACGTTATGATTGTGAGATTTATTCTGTGTAGTTGTAGATCTTTCTTTCTCATGACTGTATACTATTTCATTCATATTATCTATCCTCATATTGATGGGCATAACTTAATTTTTTTCTTTTTGTTTTGAGAGAGAGAGAGAGAGAGAGAGAGTGTGAGCAGGGGAAGGGCAGAGAGAGAGAGAGGAAGACACAGAATCCGAAGTAGGCTCCAGGCTCTGAGCTGTCAGCACAGAGCCTGACTCGGGGCTCAAACTTAGGAACTATGAGATCATGCCCTGAGCCAAAAATCAGACGCTTAACAGACTGAGCCACCCAGGCTCCCACTTAAAAATTTTAACATACATTCTTAGTTTAGAAAATCTAAAATTGAAGATACTGTCTCCATCATTTCTAGCTCCTGTTGTTGCTCTTGGAAAGTCTGCTGTTACTGTAAATTTGGATCCTTTTTAGATAATTTTTCTTTTATCTTGGGCTCTTTTCAAGATCTCTTTGTCCTTAATTTTCTGCATTCACAGGATGTCTAGGTATGAATTTACTTTTAGTATCCTGTTTGGAACTTGTGTTTCTGAATCTGAAGATTGTCATCTTTCATTAGTTCCAAAAATACTAAGCCATTATTCTGTTAACTTAAGGGCAATAAGGTTTCAAGAACGGTGGTGACACAAGCCAATAAATATTTTTTAAAAAATCACTCTGCTGCTTACTGGTTGGTACTTTGGGGAACACATTTAAATGACTTGTGCTATAGATTTCTCATCTCATCTCATCTCCCTCTACAATGGGAACAGTAATAATATCTGTTCTTCCTACTTCCAAGAGCTGCTTTGATTATCTAATAGAAGAATGTACTTTAAATTGCATTGCAAATTATAATATGCTGTACAAATACCACAGGAGTTAGCTCTCTGTAGATGTTTAATAAAATTTGTTGTGAATGAATCTCAATAAATACTTGAATTGTTAGCAAATAAGTGGATAGTAGTAGTACTTAATATTTTTCTTTTTTTTTTCCCTTGACCCACCTCCCACGAAGAAATGCAGGAATATTTGTATACTTGTGGGAGTGATCTATATACATAGAATGTAAATGAAAAATCACCATGGTGGCTTAGGCATAAAATAGAATTTTATTCAGTTCCCATTGCTGTTGATTTTTCTGAAATATGAGTCATTATTATCACCACTGGTGGTATTTAATGTCTGTAACTACTGTTGTTCCTTTTGTCTCTACCAGCTATCAGATACTTTGCATATCCTTGTCTTAGCATTTGTTTTAAAATGAATTAATGTATTTCCTGTGTCTCCAATTAGATTGTATAGAGACAATCTAATGGAAAGTTTGTAGGTTAAAATTAGGCAGATCTGAGACCAAATCTTGGCTATACTATTTCATGATCTGGTGACATTAGGCAAGTCACTTTACCTTTCTCATCTTCTGTTTATTTTTCTAAAAAATAAGGAATTAATTTATTTATGGAGTGCATGCCATGTGGATAGTGCTGTTATAGGTGTTTGAATTACTTAATTTGTATCATAGCAACCTGGCAATATAGATATTATCCCTGTTTTATAGGGAAGGAACCTGATACTCAGAAGAGCAGAGTAATTGCTCAAAGTCATAAAACTCATATGCGTGATAGCCAGGATTTTCACCTGGGGTGTTTCATTATAAAGCCTGTACCTTCACTAGTACCTCAGAAAATGATTAGCATTTTCTGGGAATCCAGTGGGTAATAAATGTAGGCTATTTTGTAGGACACTGATGATGTACAGTTTTTTAGCACTTGGCATTTTTCCCTGCATTTCGTAGGCACTTCTTCCCTAATTGTTTATTGTCTCTGTTTCTGCTGCTGTTCTTGTATTCACTGATTGTTGACTTTTTAGCCAAAGGGAAAGGACAGTTCCAAACCAGAGTGAATCTTAATGCTGCCTTGGTTGAGGATATAATCAGCTTGGAAGAGGTGGATGAAGAAATGAAGTCTGTGACAGAAGCGCTCAAAGATAATTTCAATAAGACTGTCAATATAAGGACCTCACCAGGTTAGTGACTGAACCAATGTTTTGGAGAAGGGCATAGTGGAAAGATCATGGCTTTGGCAGGGCTGGGTTTCAGTCCTAGCTTTGTTACTTACTAACTGGTGACCATGGGCAGTTAACTTTACTTTTCTGGTCCTCAGTTTCCTTGTCTGATTCCCACCTTATAGCTTTGGAGTGAGTATTAAAGTCAGTGAGGTAATACATGTAACGGTTTGAGCACAGTGCCTGGCTCGTAGTTAATACTACGTTTATTTGTCCATTCAACGATGAACTAAGTATTGTGCTGGTCCACAAGTGGTGAACAAAAGTAGGCATGGTCTTTGCTCTCATGGAATTGCACTCTCAAAAAATGGGATTTTTATTACGATTATACTATATAAGCACTTCTAGGTATTTGGTCTTACAGTAACTGACATCTTTGGTCTGATTTTTCCAATTTGTCCTATTTGGCCATTCTTATCCCTTACTGGGAACCAAGTGGCTGCAGACCTATCCATCTGAGGCATTTCTGTACCTCTGAGCTTGACCAGGAAGATTCCGTTTGGGTTAATAACTTCCTGAAAGTGGCTTTTCTAAGTGGGAAATGTCAGAACTGTCTAAGAGAACTGTTTGCAGATGTGATGGAAGAAGTGAGTTGTCAGCTAATGGTGCAGGCAGGCAGGAAAAATCCAATTGCTGTTAAATTGGCCTTTTGGAAATTGTCATCATCCTAGAGTCAAGCCTGGGACCCCCTCTGAAGGTATCTCTAGGAGCTTGGGCTGCTCCCACTCACATCTTGGCTGGGATAGTTCCTAAGGAAACTAGGAAATACTTCATGAACTTGTTCTTAAGAAAACCAAATGAAAAATATACAGCTCCATTTATAAACACCAGCAGAAACATACTGAGTTTAGAGACGAGATCCTGTGTGAAATCAGAAGACCATTCCGTCATTTGTCAACCTTTGGACTGGGGCATTTCTGCCTTTGCTGACAGTAGAGCGTGCCATTCAATCTCTCCCAACTGTTTATTTTAAACTTGCTTATTATTTTAGGTATGAAACTGATAAAGTGCTTTGTCTCCCCTGTGCTTTCTGGCCTGTTAACATTCTGCAGCCGAAACCAGAGAGCAGTTTGAGAGGAGCTCAGGGAGAAATGTGATACTTAAAATTAGCCAGCAAGCTCCACTCTTGTTGAACTTAAAAAGATGATGGGCCTGGAAAGGGGTTGGGAGTGTAATTTGTTAAATGTTAACCTCTGCGAAAATGAGGGGCAGGAATGAGGCTGAGGGAGATTCTCGCTGGGGACAGATTGAGGGAAAAGGATTTGATGCATTATGTCGATATGGATTTAGGGAATGGGAACCACCACAATTGCATACTGAAAAGCCCGTGTTGCGACTTCTGTGGCAAAGGATCTTATGGCAAATCAGGAAGGCTGAGTTAAGATCCATTTTCAGAAGGCCTCCCGTTGGTATTTCCTCTTTGCCTCCTTCTCTTCAGGGTTATGTTTGTGTAACGTTCTCTCTAGAACTTGGGGCCGTGAAGAGACTGGGTGAAACTGAACTTAGCCAGTCTTTTCTGTGCCATATTCTTCCATATCCTCTTTCACCACTATCTGGGCCAGCAGGCACTTTTCCTTTCACACCTCTGTCTGTCTACCAGTAATTTCTATCTCCAAGGTAGTTGATTGCTTTTTTTAAAAATTATTTTTTTAATATGAAATTTATTGTCAGATTGGTTTCCATACAACACCCAGTGCTCATCCCAACAGGTGCCCTCCTCAATACCCATCACCCACCCCCCCCTCCCACCCCCCACCAACCCTCAGTTTGTTCTCAGTTTTTAAGAGTTTCTTATGGTTTGGCTCCCTCCCTCTCTTAATTTTTTTTTTCCTTCCCCTCCCCCATGGTCTTCTGTTGATTGCTTTTAATAGTTGTCTAAGATACAAATTTATCCATGTATTTGTTCTTGCCCTCTTCCATTCATCCATCCATCTGTACACTGATGTATTCACCAAAACATTATTGAGCACTTATTCCGTGCTGATGAGTAGGTGCTGTAGATACAGAGAGAAAGGACGTTGTTCCCAGCTTCCAAGAGCCCAGAGCCTAATGTGAAGAGATCAACAAGTAAACCAACATGGATAAAACCAGATAGCAAAGCAGAGTGGTGAAGAACATGGCTGTAGAGTTGTCCAGACCTGGGTTTGAATTTAGGCTCCATTATTAAGAACTGTTGTGACCTTGGGCAAGTTACTGTCTGGTCCTCCGTTTCCTCATCTGTAAAATAGTGGAACTATCTCATAGAGTTGTGATAATGAAAGCAAAAGAAATTATAGAGAACATTTAGTATGGTGTCTTGCACATAGGAAATGTTCAGCAAATACTGGTTATCATCATTATAGAAGGGGTCCATGGGGTCCTAGGGAGCTCATAAGGGGGTTTGTTATCCAGCCTAGAAGGTGAGATAAGATTCCTGAGATTGGATGCTATTATAGCTGAGTGTTAAAGAATGAGCTGGAGTTATCTGAGCAGAGAAGGACATTCTCAATAGAAAGAACAATATATGCTCAGAATCCTGAGGCAAGAAAGAGCAGACTGTATTAGAGAAATTGTAAGTAGTTTAGCTTGGTTAAAATACAGGAGAAAGTCAAGAAGTAGTAATAGTTAACATTTACTGGGCACTCGTATATGCCAGTTACAAGTGCTTTCCAGAGACTTTCATAACAACCCGATGAGGTAGGTACAATTTGTATGCCCCATTTACAAGAGATCAGGAAACAGGTGTCTAAAGGTTTAGGGGATCTGCCTAGGGTCACATAATCAGGATGGGACAGAGTTGGTATTTGAACCCAGGTCATTGATCTTTAGAATTGTGGAGATTTTTACCATTATACCTCCTGGACTTTTCCAGATTGAAGCCAGTGTTGTCAACAACCTCCTCTCCTGTGATGACATTGAATCTGGTTGAATACTTCACATCAGATCTTGGGGTCTTAATAAAGTACTGCACTGCATTATTCTTACAACGGTATGCTGGGACAATTCCCAGTTTGCCTAAGAGGACCCCTCCCCCACTTTTTCTTTGTGTCTCAGAATGAGCCATTTATGATTGGCCACCCTGGTTGACGGTAGGGAAGTCCTAGTTCTGACAACGCTTCAGAGCTCTTTCCAGCATGTGACACTGCTGCTCCTGTGACAGCCCCTTGAACAGTCTTGCCACATTGATAAGGGATCACTGAATATTAGTTGAATCTGAATTAGGTAGGGACTTAGATGTGGGGCTGTTAAGGTCTTTCTGAGTTCTAAGACTCTGTGACTTTTCTTTTAGGATCCCTTGATCATATCACTGTGGTAACTGCTGATGGGAAGCTTGCTTTAAACCAGATTGGCCAGATCTCCATGAAGTCTCCACAGCTGATTTTGGTGAATATGGCCAGCTTCCCAGAGGTAAGGTGGCTTTTGCCAAAGGGACCTCTTCATGATCTCTTTTGGAATGGAGGAGGCTGGGTCAAGTCAGGAAGAAGTAGTCCCTCCAGCTTGGGATGGAACAAGAGAGAAGGCACAATAAAGGGAACTTAATGATAAGGAGAAACTCTGTTCTTGTTTCAAAATTCCTTTTTTGTTAAACTCAAACCCCAAAAGGCCAGGCAAGTAATTTGAATACTGAAACTGGCTCCATCTAAGGAACATAATAGTGGCGATACAGTGATTGGCGCTTAGCCAAATGGAAGGGGCTGGGGTAAGCGGGAGAGCCTGCACCCTGTCTGAAGGGAGCAGCCTCTGCCCAGCTCCTGCTGATCATTGCCAGGCAGAAGTTAAACCTGGTAACCAGTGTTATCAGACGCTAAGGTTTTTATTTCTAGAATAAGCCAGTAACTCACATTTTTTTTTTTTAATTTTTTTTTTCAACGTTTATTTATTTTTGGGACAGAGAGAGACAGAGCATGAACAGGGGAGGGGCAGAGAGAGAGGGAGACACAGAATCGGAAACAGGCTCCAGGCTCCGAGCCATCAGCCCAGAGCCTGACGCGGGGCTCGAACTCCCGGACCGCGAGATCGTGACCTGGCTGAAGTCGGACGCTCAACCGACTGCGCCACCCAGGCGCCCCAGTAACTCACATTTTTATATAAGATCTTTCCTAAATGTTGGTAACAAATTCACTTTTTTTTTTTTTTTAAAGACTGTGAGACAAAGTGTATTAATGGGCCAGATTTGGGCTATGGGCCCCCAGTTTGTGACCTTTGCATTAGCATTGGGAGCAGACTTTCAGGAATTCATATTCCTTTCAAACTGGTCCATTGCAGAATTGGACAGAGCACAGAGCCTCCAGGGCTGGAAGGTGGATTGCATTAGATCATCGCAACCTTGAGGCTATGATTTTATGTCTAGTTGAGGAAGACAAATGGGCTTTTCCTTATTGTTCCAGTGGATTGCAAATTGACCTGGACTGGGAGTCCTGGAGAACCTGGGACCCGGTCCCATCTCTACTGTTTGACCTCCATTTTATCATCTGTTAACATGGGGTGGAGGAATCTGAAGTCTCTTCCTGTTCCGATGGTCTCTATCAATACTTCTCTCCCAAAGACCAAAGTGGAACCTGTTGGATTTGACAAACTGGGTTAGAGACATGAGGAGGGAAATCCCTTGCTGTGAACAAACTGTTTCAAATCAGAAGGCTGCTGTAGCTAATGTGCCAGGCACGCTTGTGTGGGGCTGTTCTGTTTTCCATACTGCAGCCAGAGTGGACTTTTAAAAATATATATTGGATTATATCATTCCCATGCTTTAAATTTATCAGTGGCTCCATAGTCTTTTGGAAAAAAGTTATTTTGGTCTAGAAGGCTTTGCCTTATGGGGGCACCTGGGCGGCTCAGTCGGTTAAGTGTCCAACTTCAGCTCAGGTCATGATCTCACAGTCCGTGAGGTCAAGCCCCACGTCGGGCTCTGGGCTGACAGCTCAGAGCCTGGAACGTGCTTTGGATTCTGTGTCTTCCTCTCTCTCTGCCCCTACCCCGCTCGTGCTCTGTCTCTTTCTCTCTCTCAAAAATAAATAACATTAAAAAAAAAAAAAAGGCTTTGCCTTCTGATATGGCCCTAGTCTGCCTCTAATCTCTGCAGTCTGATGCCACTGTCATCCCTGTACACCGGTCTAGGCACACTGGCCTTTCAGTTCCTCAAATGCACCATACCTTTGCATCCCCAGGAGTTACGCATATGCTGTTGCCTTTGCTTGGAACACTCTTGCATGTCTAATTGTTACTCCTACTTTGGATCATAGCCTAAATGTCACTTTTTCAGGGACAGCTTCCCTAATCTGCTCAATCTCAATTATTCATCCACACTGGCCTCTCTTGCATAGCACGTTCTTTTTCTTCATCACACTTATCATTAACAGTTACACATTTATTTCCATCTTTATTTTCCATCTCCTTTCCGTTAGATTGTAAGCTTGGAAGGTAGGAATCGTATCTAACTTGTTCCTTGCATCCAGCACCCCTCATACTGCCTGGCACACGGAAGCACTCAGTAGATTTTCCTCAAGTGGATGAATACTTGTCGTTAGATTGATGGAAGGAAGGCACTCTTTCCTGGTGTCACTGAGAAGCAGAGAAATGGATGAAAAGAGAATTGTCAACTCTTTCCCATGCTGGCTCCCTCTAAATGGCTGAGGCCTTCTGCCTTGTTCATCTGATCCCATAGGCACCGTGGGCCAATTTAGGGAATAGCCTCCTAATTACACAGCTTGAAGACCTCATCAGGCAGATTGCTTTTCAGAGCCAGCCACTTCTGTTATTAAATAGCAAATGGCATTCACAGAAGAAGCACCTGATTGGCCACCAGAGCATCTTATGAGGCAGGAGGAGGTATTAACAGCTTAATTTTTTCTTAGGAAGTTGGAGTATATCTTCATTTTTTAACCAAAATATCTTTGCCATCTTCCTAAGTTGAAATTCTGTGAGTTTTGAAAAGAAAAATCTTCATAATCATCTCAGTAGAGAGTTCTTTGCAAGGGCAGAGTTCTTTGCAAGGGAAGTGTGACTTACATTGTCTTTTGAATTCCTTTATCTCATCTGGTGCATATATTAAACAAATAGCTCTAACTAAACATTTCCTTCCTCTAGTTTAGAAACTGTCCATAGACTACCCAGGTTCATAGCTTCAAAATGCTGAGCTAATCCCCTCTGTGTTTATGTAATTCCTTTATGTCTCACATGCGGTTGGCTTTCTTTCCAAACCTGAGCATTTCTGTGTCGTGGCGTAGTGACATGATGCAGATTTACATGCATAATCTTTTCAAACGCACTGCAGACAGAACACTGTGTTGCATTTGTTTAACACGTGTCCTGCTTGATGAATGATACACACAGTTGCTGCCTTCCATAAACTTGCCTGCAGCTAGAGTTAATGATGGGAAAGAAAAGAAGGGAGTAAAAAACCACAGCTTGATTTGAACAAGGCAAATGAAAAAAAAAAAAAAATTCCACAGCCTCCACGATTGCTGTTGTGGAAGGAAGAAAGCTAATGTGTACTGAGTGTCTGCTGTGTTGCCAGGCTTTGCTTTCTCATATTTTGTTTAGTGATCAACACAGGTACTTTCTAAAATGAAGCAGTATTTATTCCATTTTATAGATGAGGCTCAGAGAAGTAAAGTATCTTCCCCAGGTTCCCACTGTTAGGATAGAGTCAAGATTTGAGCACAGGTCTGACACTAAAGCCCGTGCTTTTGCCATTCCTGCATTAATTCAACAAATTAGGAAACAAAAATAAAACCCCCCACAAATATTTATTGAGTTTCTGTGAGTTATTAGGTTCTCTTTGAGGTGTTGGGAATTTGTCGATGATTAAGAAAGACAGGGTTCCTGCCTTCATAGACCTTACATTCTAGGGACTCATTGGGATATAAAGAAAATGCAGGGCCACTAATTAAAATGGCCCCAGCAAAGTTGACTTGAACCCAGATTGTCAAAGTGCTTGTTCACCTGTCCAAGAAAATTTTGTCATTTTTATCCTTTAACATAGATTAGCTTAAGAATCACAATAGCAGACATTGCTAATTGGTTATGGCACTCTTTCTTGCCTGACCCTAGATGGAGTCTATGAGCTTTCTTGACACAGTACTCCAAACGGCTCCAACTAGTTGGTCAGTGTTGCTGTTTGAGAATAGCCTATTTGTCCTGAGGTGCTTATTAGCATCCCTTCAGTAAGGGGATACAGCCTGAGATGGAAATGCAATAGAAATATGTGCCTTTTTGTCTGAACAATGAGTTTCAGAAGTCGTTTTGGGAAAATAACTGTAATTCCCTGAGTTTCTGTATCCTACGATATCAAATGAAAATATACATGTTTAGAATATTTTAGAAGAACTGACCTAGAAGCCAGTTCATTAATCCACTCATTCAACATGCATTTACTGAGCACTTTCCATGTACCCAGCACTGTAATTCTACTGGAAGGATATACATATTGAGGGATAGTTCTGCCCAGCTTGGAAGCCGCAGTGGGTGTTCCCATGCCTCTGGGGGAAAGTTGTCTGGAAAGACTGGGGCAGACAGTGAAGGGAGTTGGTGGCGGTGAGATGCTACAGTTGAGTTCTCTGTCATTCAGAAGCTTCAGGAGAGGAGGATTTAGAGACTTGAGATCAGGCCACTTCAAAGTAGAGGTTCTCCCTTTATTGCTAACTTTAGAAATGATTCATTTTATTAAGGAAAATGGCAGCCCTCTTGGCGGAGGAAAATTTCATTTCTTTGTCCGTCTCTTTTACTTACCTTCACCATTCCCTTTATATACCAGACCAATTCCACATAATTTTTGTCTATTTAAAAAAAATTAAATTCCACATGCTATGATTACTGACTACATTGGAAGGAAATACAAGGTAACGTCACTGGATGGAGGGTTGAGGCACCTGAGATCTCCTCCCGACTCTGCCGGTAACCAGAAGTATGGTGGGCAAGATCCTCATTCCACCGCCCTTGGCTCTCAGGGAAGACCGGATATGTGTGTAGGGTCCCTGTGTACATAGGAAGGGACTGAACTACATTATGTCAGAGATCCCCGCTAGCTCCAACAGTCTGTGGTGGTCAAGAGTACCATTTGAAGAATTTACTGTTTGAAGCAATGGTCACACTGTGTTCCATTCTGTGACAGCCTCCCAAAGGGATGATTCTTCTGCATGTGGACTTGCAGTTTGTCTTTTTTGACCTTATGGCAGTACCTTAGGTCCTTGTAGAATTAAGGTCATGTCAAGATGAAATGGATAAGCTTTTTAGGCACTCCCTCAAAAACCAAAACAAAACAGGAGTGCAAGAAACCCTATTCATTAAACCACAAAGTCTAGGGAGGAACTCAGGGCCAAGAATTGTCCCTGTGAATCCAAATGAAGTACACCAGCTGTGGCCAAACCTAAACGTCTTTGAAAATGTCAGAGGCCTTCTTTTCTTGAATTCCACATTGCCATGCCAATGAAAGTGTCTTACATCCACACTGCTTTACCTTGTTCTTTAGGATTTCATAGCAGGTATAGTTACATTGCTCGAGGTGAAGTGAAGCACGTTGGGAAATCCATATACCTTGTGCCGCCTGGCACAGTAGAGAGCAAGGCCGTATCAGAGAAGACCCTGAAGGATGTCACACGGGACAACAGTGCGTCAGCTGACTGATGACATCAGCTCAGCCTTGTTTGCAGGATTTGCGCATTCTTACCTTTATAGAATAAGTTTAGATGATAACGCCCCTTGCCTGGGTGTTACTGTGTGCCAGGCACAGAACAAGATGCATCGTTCGTGTTACCTCATTTAATCCTCCGGGAGATACAGGTACCGTGTGCTCTCAGATTACAACATGGAGACCTCAGGTCGAGATTGTTGCCCAGGGTCACATGGTTAGCAGAGCAAGGATTTGGGCTGAGATCTTTCTGACTCCAAAGCCCAGGCTTTTGACTGGTGTACCATACTGCCTTTCCTGGAGCACAGACCAGCAGAGACTCACTGCTCAAGCCAAAACACGAGTGAGGTCGGTGTGAGTGTAGATGCGAAGGAGTTAAATGTATTTACTCATTCCACATCGGCACTGGTATATTTTGAGTGTAAAATGTCAACTGGAATTTTTAATGTATAAAATCTTTCATCTGTCCTTACACCAATCTTTGTACAGACCAGCCCCCCTCCCTTGAGGATTTATTGTGGTTTTGATCTGTGTTGCCTCAAACCGTTGAAATCTTTTCAAAGAAGCAGAGCTGTTTTCTTTTTATTTTTTCCTCCTCTTTGCTTTTCTTCCCTCCCGCAGTACACTGGTACCAGGAGTGGACGTAGTTTGCTATTCAGCTTGATCAAAGCACTCTACACCAATGTAACTTCCTGATCTTACTGGTAACAGAACTAAATGTTTCCATGTTCTACCAAGATGGGTTGCCAGTTATCGACAGAGGGCTTGCATCTGGTAATAATTATTTACTAATTCTGTTTACCTTTTGATCTGGTTTTCAGTGTACAGCTGCAGCTATCAAGGCTATAAGAGAAAGTGGAATGAATCTGAACCCAGAAGTGGAAGGGACGCTAATTCGGGTGCCCATTCCCAAGTAAGTTTGGTTAAAATTCACATCTTCTGATGCAGTGGGGCAGTTGTCCTCGGAAGGAAACCAACAGGCCAAGACACTGTTAGGCCCGTAGCGTATTTTACCTGTACTCTTACCCTGGCAAACTCCAGCATCCTTTGGGATCCAGTTTACCGATTCAGAAATATTTACTGCATGCCTACTACATGCTAGGGGCCGAAGATGCAGCAGTGAACCTGGCAAAGTCCTTGTCTCCGTTCCAGGCTGGGAACATTCCAGGCTGGGAAGGTGGGACACATAAATAGTAAAGTCATCCCAGATAGTGAAATGCTGTGGGGAAAGTAATGGCGGCGGGACCCCATAGAGCGACTTGATGAAGGTGATGGTAGAGGGACAGCTTAGCCTGGGAGAGCTCCTTAAGGAGGTAACGTTTTTGCTGAACCGAATGGGGAGGAAGAGCCAGGCTGGGGGAGGGGTTTTCCAGGCAGACTGAGCAGCCAGCACAAAAGACCTCGACACTCGTGTCCGTTGAAGAGTTATTTTTTACATTAGTCCTTGCTTGTTGAAAAATTTAGGCATTAGAACAGAATATTGTTAATTATATAAATAGAACTTAGAGTTTTGAATGAACAAAAATGTATGTTTATTTTTAAATTAAAAAAGAAATCACAAGACTTTGGCGTATTTGAGAGGCAGAAAGCCAGTGTGCCTGAAAGTCAAGGAGGGAGGGAGAGGGAATGGAAGGTAGGCTTTTCAGGCCATGGTAAGGAGTTTGGACTTTACTCTAATTGGAATGGGAAGCCACTAGAGGGGCTTAGGCAGAGAAATCTGATCCAATGTTGACTTTTTGGGGGTCTTTTTGGCTGCTGATTAACAAATGGAATATAGGGGGGCAGAGTAGACACAAAGAATAGTCAGGAGGCAACTGTGAGGGTCCAGGTGAGTTCGAAATCTTTGCAGATTCCAGAGCAGGCACGGTAGTTTCTCCTATAATCTCATTTCTTACTTATCTGTAAGTCCTTCTTCCTACGTGATGCCTCTTGGACAGCAGGTCCCAAGGGAGTGTTGAATTAATTCATTTAGTCATTCAACAGATATTTATTAAACACTAACTGCATGTCAGGCACTTTCCTGGTGGTTGAGATACAGCAGTAAACAAAATAAACAAGAAAAAGCTGCTGTCCTGGGCTTACCTTATAGTCGAGTAGGTACAGTAAACAGAAAGGCTGACAAACCCACAATGTAATATCAAGTGAGGATGAGGACTATGAAAAAGAATAGCAGGGTAAGGGGATAGAGGATTGAGGTTTTTATTGTAGATAGGAAGGTTCAGAAGGAAGTGACGTTTGAGCAGAAACCTAGGTGAAGTGAATGAATGAAGCCTCCAAGTACCTAGAAGGGAAATAGAGTCTTTTTGTGCCACACATCACGTTGTATTTCTTCACATATATTGCCTCACTTCTCACACAGTCCTGTGAAGTACGTTTATTCCTGGTATGGAAATTTAGGCTCAGAGAGGTAAAGTAATATGTCTGAGATCACTCAGCTTATGCTAAAGCTGGGACCCAAGCCTAGCCTTAATTGATTCTAAAGCCTCATGATGTGCGCACACTAGCAATAAGAACCAATCCCGACACTGAGAGTCCAGGAACTTTCCCCACTGAACTTTTTTTCTGCTTTAGGACCAGAAAATGGCTGTTTTATTTCATTGTGTGCTCGTATTCTGTAAGTCAGAATTAACACTGTGCTTTGAAATCATGTGAATTGGGAGCAATATAACCTAGTGTTTAAGAACCAAGTAGACCTGGGTTCAAGTCCAGAACCTGTTTGCTTGGTTAGTTCATTAATTTTGCTCAGCCGGTTTTTACAAATGTAAAGGCTCTGTGCTGGAGGCTAGGGATGTACAAACCTGATGTTTGTCTTCATGGAGCTCACAGGCTGTGGCCAGGCCCCTTCTTTATATCATCTGCAGCTTATCCATGGAATATACTATTACCCACAGTTTATGGATGAAAAATTGAAATTCAAAGAAATTAAGGGACTCGCCAAGATCATATGGTCAGTAAGTGGCAGTCAGGATTCGAATCCTATTTCTCTGTTACTACAGTACGTGCTCTTTATCCTGCACGGTCTTTATAGGTGGGTTATTCTGGAAAGTGCTATGTGTACTCACGGACAGCAGATGTAAGTAAGACTTGCAGGTGGAATAGATAATAGTCAGCAGGTTTATTTTTTAGTTCTTTAAAAAAAATTTTTTTTAATGTTTATTTATTTTTGAGACCGAAAAAGAGACAAAGTGCAAGCAGGGGAGGGGCAGAGAGAGAGGGAGACACAGAATCTAAGGCTCCAGGGTCTGGGCTCTGGGCACAGAGCCCCACATGGGGCTTGAACCCACAAACCACGAGATCATGACCTGAGCTGAAGTCGGACGCTTAACCGACTGAGCCACCCAGGTGCCTCTATTTTTTAGTTCTTGTTCTTTTGTCTGCAAAATCTTGGAAAAGTCACTTAACCTCCATAAGCCTCAGTTTCCTCATATACCAGATGAAGAGATTGTTCTCAGTGGCCTGCCAGGTCCCTCTGAACTTTAAAATTCTGTGATACTGTGAATTTCTGCTGCTGAATGCTCATTGCTCACTTAGATTCTCCTTAGAGTGGCCTGGTTGTGTATCATGTTCTTCTTTCAAAGACCTAGTTTACATAATGTGCACCTCTGCAGCCCCTCAGGAGTTAACGGTTGCCCTTGTGTATTGTATGTAAGTTTGAAGGATCAGTGAGTTTTACTTAAATTTCCAAAGACTTGGGGATCTGTTACATTATATTTTACATTATTTTATGTTGGTTAATGGGAGTAATCTAAGAGAAAGTTGACGGACCAAAACCGTCTGCTCCTGCAAACCTCATTTTTTATACACTTACTTCCCTTTGACAAGGTGGTAAGGTCATGAGGCCCCTTACTGAATTATACGTTTGGTAGTTTTCCAGATAAAAAATGAATGATCTGTTCTTCATTATGGAGCCTGTGTCACATGAGAGGATAAAGGTTGATTTAGACATAAAGAGGACCAAGGTTTTTATTTGGTTTTGGCAGTGACTTCCACATGACTGTGGGCACGTCACCCTAGCAGCTTGCTGCCTGCTAGTTCCTTACTTGGAAAATAAGTGAAATAATACATAATGATAGGTAGAGATTTGGTGGGATTAGTAGAGAAAATAGATTAGGTCGTATGATCTCCTTAGAGGAAAGAAACTATGTAAATATAAGATACTGATATTATTTCAGTAAACTTAATTTTCTAGATATATATAATTCTAGTTGAGAAGGGAAGAAATGAGGAAGGGAACTAATATATTGAGTACCTACTATGTCCCAGGGCCTGTTAGGTGCTTGACATAGCTGGAGAAAGTGGGAGAGTATAGGGTTAAAGTCTGCCTTGGTATCACAGAAGCATGCAGTTGAGTTCATCCACTTTTGTAGCTGTGTGACAATGGCACCTGTCCCCACCTCTCTGAATCTCTGGGAGATTACTTGTAAAGTATTTACAGGGCTTGCGTGTGGTTATTGGGAGATTTCAGTGAGTTAACGTACACAAAGGTTTTGCTGTTTGGCCGGCACCCAGTGAATGAATGCTAGCAAATGTTCCTCTACTCCCTTTCGTAGGTAGGTCAGAACATAATTCCCTTTTAAGGACGAGGAAACAGATTCAGAGAAGTGAGGCATCGGTTCCGGGTCAGATAGCTGGTAATTGGCAAAGCTGTGAGGAGGAAAATAGTACACCAAGCTTACATGAGGTGATTGGGAGGTGAGATTGAACCAGAGGCATACATCCCTAGGATCAGTTTCTGATTACAAAATTTCAAGTTTAGTTCTAGGAAAATGCGCCCTTCCTGATGATCTTGACTCTTCCTCTGCCTAATGATCCGTCTGCAAGTTTTCTGGTCTTAACTCTGGCTGCCCACCGCTAAGTTTTATTTGCAGTTGCAGCAGATCTCAGCTAGTACCTCGCCTTCATTATATTTCTCTGATTCTTTTATTCTTATTTAAATGAGTCTACTGAGTATGTTGACTCTTACTGGAATCTGCCTCTGATCCTTTTGGGAATTAGGGGGAAGATAAATCCTAAATCGACAACAGGTCAGACCTGGAGCCGTCTTTCACAGCCTCTGGGAACCCAGCCTCATGTGGTTGCGTGCGGTTCTTCTCAGTTCAGTACCGCGGAGCCTGAGGCTGGGCTGTGTCTGCCCCCACTGGCAGTGCGTATAGTTTTTGTTTTCTTCTCTGGCCAGCATTCTTTGATTTAGAGAAGTCAGCCTACTGGATAGATTCTTTGACCATTCCTGTTAATCAGGTGTACTGAAATCATTTCTTCTACTTTCCTTTCCTATCTATGTAGTCAAATTTTGGGTGCTGTTTATCAGTCACCTGCTCTGCAGGTGCAGCACCTGAGGGTGCCGTGCTGAATGCTTTGTAGTTTCGTCTTGTTCTCATTACACTCCCATGAGGCCAGGAGACTATTCTTAACGCCCATTTGACTGGGAAGACAACGGAAGCTCATGGAAGGTGAACATCTGCCGTCATCAAGCTAAGTGGCAGAAGCATGGTTAGAACTCGGGCCTCACTATTTTAACTGCCTGTTGCCTGTTCTCGTCTCCTGGTGGTACATCTCTCTGGAATATCACTCTTTCACTTCTTAATCAGGGACTCTGAAAAGTTTTGAGCAGGAGATCTTTTTGCATCAGGCCAGATTTCTGCTCCTACCCCATTCATATCTTTACTATGCCCCCACACAAACAAGCAAACAAACACACACTCCCTTGCTCATTGTTCTATCAAATCTCAGGGAGAAAACCACACACAGTAGAATGAAGCTGCTTGGTGGAGAGCACTGACTGCATGTCTGCCTTGAAAGAAACCTGTAAGGAATCATGAACTCACTGAAGAGATAAAAGCACGTGTGATTGACTCACTCCCTGCTGAGGCTGCGTTCTTCCTTGATTGTCCTCCTCTTTTGTTATTTTTCATC